GTGCTGTTATATTAAGAAAAGTACATACTTGTAGAAGACTCTATATATATAGTGTATCTAATATATAAAGTAAATTATTTAGTAAATTCTAGTAGATAGATACACACTTAGTACCAAAAGACATATTGATACAGTTTGTATGCATTTTAAAATCAATAAAATAAATAGAATAAAATAAGAATAAAAAAAAACTACTATCAAACTCATTTCAAATTTACAATAAATTATTTGTTTTGCAACAACTGCAAAATTGTCTATTTACTGAATCAATATTAACTCTAAAGCACTAAGTAAATATTTTACACAAAGACAGAATTTTTTAAAGGAAATTACACTTGTATACTAAAAATATACACATCATAATAAATAATTTAAAATAAAAATTAGACATCAATTTTACAAAATACAGGTTTTAATGTCACTTACACTATAACAATTAAGTAAAAAAATGTGCCGCAATGAGGGCCATTTTTCATACAAAATCCATACAAAATAAAGTTAGATCTGAGGTCAATTATTACTTAGTCTGATGAAGTGACAAACAATAATCTAGTCAAGACGTAAAGAGGGGTTTTGAAAATACCTCGAGTTAAGAAAGAGTAAAAGTGCTCAAGTGCACTGGCTCAAATAGCTTTAACATAAATATAATATAATGTTAGTCATGTACCAAATATATAAAGTGAGAGAGAAAGACCATAAACTTACAAAAACTTACAAAAATGTATATATAACGTTTTCAATGAACCCCACAACATACTTTTATTCCATACTTTTGTTATTGTTTAAAGAAAATGAAGAAAAGTAAAGAAACTGTTAGATGGCAATTTAACCTGATTCCAAATGAAGGAACACTTCAACAGAGAACGGAGGAAACTATATCGTAACTATACTCTACTACAACGACATTCTCTCACTAAAGAAGAGACTATATCCAAACGTATAGCTTCAATTGGTACCGACGGAATTCCTAGGAGCTCTAATGATACGGTTATTGCCGTATTATACCGATATGTGTGTTAAGATCAAACCGATTTTGTGACTTCACGGTAGGTAATTACATTAAATAACTCTGGACTTCCTTTTCTATCTGCTACCTACAATGACAATCTGATACGGTCTGACAAGTAGGTGTTCTGCAGATTAGCATATACCATTTCTTATTTAAAAAAGAATATAATACATATTATACACTGAAAAGTTGCAAAAGTTATATGAATTGTTTTCATGATATTTGTTTTCTCGAATAACAAAAAGTGTTATCTCGTTTACTCAGGTAATATTTTGTTTTGATTTCTATCTCAAAAACTATACAATCAATAAACAAGAGAAGTTGTTAACACAATCTTAAAAATGTTGAAGAAATATAAACAAAACAATTTAGTTAGCTGCCGGCAAGAGGCAGCACTCAGAAAGCCGGTAAGGTTACACTTATTTTGTAATATTTCGGCGTAACTAATGAGTCATACCAATCGGTATGGACTCAAAACGTGAGATGTTCCCGGCAAAAAATTGATAACTATTTTAATAAAAAATAATTAATTTCAGCAGAAACTGAAAAGTCAACAAGTCATTAAACTCACCAAACAGCAACTACTTTAGAAAAAAGCAATAAAAATTATTGATGCAAGTAATTAAATAATAATAGTGAGGAATAACTTGTGTATACGTGTGTGTATATATACGCTTACCTTCTACTATTCTAGGTCCTTCTTTGGGTCTTCCCTCTAATCTTTGATAATTTTGTCGTAAAGCCCCAAATTTGGCCTGGTAAACGCCTTGTACACGTTTGTGACTATCACTCCATGTGGCCAATAAATATAGAAGTGGCAAAATAACGAGACAGCACAGCGCTAAACGACAGAAGCGTCCGCTCCGAAAGCTAGTCAAACGTATTCCACCTGCCATGTTGCACAAAGTAGTGCAGTATTTTACTTAACAGCCTTCTTGTATTTAAATCAATCTTAAAAATTTATTATTCTTAATCTTCGAAGTTACAACTGATCTTCTTCTTTTACTCTAATCTGTGCTAACAAAACTTGTCGACGTGTCTTGTGTCCAATAGATATGTTGGTGCGTTGTCGTTGTTGTTGTTATTAATACCAATTGCGGCTTTAGTCAAGTTAACAAACACTAACACAAACAAAACAAAGAAAAGCAATAAACCTTAAGTTGTTACAATAATAATAAATATTAGTATTTCTGCATTGTGCTTTTTATACACTACACTTACCAATACTTTACATTATTAGTAACTATGTATAACTACTTAAAATTAATGTTATTAAATTTTATAAAAATATATACGGCAAGTCGTGTTTTTCTCTAATCTATTAACATTTTCATTTTGGCATGTCAACGAGAGATAATACAATAAAATAAAAACAGTTTTAGAGCGGTTATAGGGTTAACAACCCAAAAAAAAAAATAAAATAAATAAATAAATATTATTGTGTGATAAGTCTGTGTTTATTATTTTCAATTGTTTTTACATTTTTGATAGATAACCATTATATTAGTTTTTTACCCTAATGATATTTAATGATATTAATAGGCCATGATAATGATATTAAGGCCATGTGCGAGTTCGAGTATATTTATGGTAAATTGAAAGAAATGGTAAATTATGTCGGTATAGCAACGAGTGTTAGTATTTAGGCCGCGTGCGAGCTGAAGTAAATTGAGGGAAATAGTAAATTATGTCGGTATGTCAGATAATGTTGGTATTTACCACAATTTCGAATAGGGTAAATTAGATGTTACCATTGTGAAAATTTTGTAAGATGTTTAATAAATAAATTTAAAAACTTTTATCAAAATTTAATAAATAAATGCAATAAATAAAAAAATAAATACATATTTACATAAGTGCAGTGCAAAAGTCTCAAAGAAATTTCAATTTACTTTACCTCAATTTACTCGAAATCGCACACGGCCTACGTAAGTAATTTCAACTCAATTTTATACCGCTGCCGATTGAATGGGTCGAACGCGCAAATTTACAACAGAAATTACAATAATTTGTACTCTGTAAATAGGCTATTTGCATTTTTCACGAAAATAAGTAACAAAATAAAATAACATGCATTTTGGTTTAAAATTTGCTTTTCAGTGTGATTCGTCGCCATATGTTGTATGTGTTGCGTTTTAAGTAAATAATAAAAAAAATGATAAAATATTAAACCACATCTTTTACCCCATCAGCGTGAATTTTATATGCCATTTACACTGTCCTCAAATGGCTCATTTTGGTCAATAATCATAAATGAAAAGCAATTGACTCATTTTTGTATACAAAATCTTAAGCGCAAATAAGAACCATTAAAATGAGTTGCAAATGCAAATGAATACATTGAACATACCCTAAATAAAATTTTTTATGGCATTTCGACAATTTGTGAAAGCTATTTTTGATATATTTACAAAAAAAAGTAAACAAATATTTCCTTGAAAGCGATGCGCATCTTTTTGGAACTTCTACTACCCAAAAATAAATTAATCGAAGCTAAAAATAAGTTTTCAGTTTGTAAGGTTTGAAGGTATATTTAACCTTCGTACAACATTTTTTTATGTACAGGCCAAAAATCAAATCAACAGGCAAGTTGAAAAATCAGCTGCTTGAAATGAGAACAAATGAATTACAACGAATATAAACAGTTTGAAATGAATTATTTGAAATGAGCCAATTGGAGCCAGTTTAAGTGCAACATTGTGCATTGAGCATTGTATAAGCATCGCAAAAGTTGTTATGATATTTGTGTGCTAATACGGCGTTTACATTGACCGAAAATGGCTCATTTTGGTCAAAAATCGAAAATGAGTATCGAATGGCTCATTCTTGCATATAAAATTTCAAGCACAAAAATGAGCAATTTTCTCACATTCTGTATGAATGACGTTCGAATGCATTCCACATATGTTCCAAATGCAAAGGAATCCATTGAACATACCCTAAATGAAAGCTCTTCATGGCATTTTGACAGTTTGAAAAAGCTGTTTTTAACATATTTACAAAAAAAGGTAAACAACTGTTTGGTGGTTGCATTTTCTTGAAAACGATGCACTGCTTTTTAGAACTTTTACTTCCCAAAAAGTAATTAATCGAAGGCATATTTAACCTTCATGCAACATTTTTTTGGCACAGGCCAAAAATCAAATCAACATGCAAGTTGAAAAATCTGCTGTTGAAATGAGAACAAATGAAATAGAACGAATGTAAACACTTTCAAATGGCTCATTCAAAATGAGCCATTTTCGGCCAATGTAAACGCCATATAACTTACAATTTACAGAAACCTCATAAATATTTTGAATTATTGATTGATGTTTTCAAATATGTTTTAAAATACATTTCTATACCCTCTGAAGCATGGCATATGTCAAAAAAACCAAATTAAGTGTAATGTATAAGAATAATAAGAATATTAATCTATAAAATATCTATATAATTTTACATAATCCTATTAATACATATTAACCCATATCCGCTTAACGTTCGATTAATCGAGCGGCAAATTTTACAACCTTTTATGGATTTTTTGTTTATATTAGAAAAACTTTAGAATATATATATGTCACATTACTTTGAACGTATGAAGCTTTAGTTTTACAAAAATATTTGTGAGTTCACTCCACACCCCACACCCCAATACTAATTAAACTTTAAAGAAAATATTTTCACCAAAAATTCCAAAAAAATCCTTGTGCGGATATAGGTTAATACATACATATTACATATTATCCTATTTAAAAAAAAATACCCGTTTGTGTATTATTTTTCTTAAGTATAATTAATTGTTTTAGAGTTAAAATTCTTTTAAAAAGTTATAAATAATATATACTAATTCTGCATTTGGCTAAAATTTTTTATAGAAATAATTTTAATTTTTGTGTTAGTGCTAGAATTAGTTTATGAAGAAATCTACTTATACCTAATGTCTAAAAATTTATTTAAGTAATTCTGAATAGAAAAAAAATTTCATTCAAAATTGTCAGTACAAATATTAAAAATTTTTTTAATAAAAGTGAACATTTCTATCAAAATATTGCACATCAATTAAGATGTGAAAATTGATAAATACTGAATAAGCAATATTGAATATAAAAAAAACTATTGTGTTGACTTACTTTAGTTTCTGTTATGTTTCAATATTTGCGAACATTTCAAGCTGAGGGAAATTTTTGAATACGAAAGAAAACTTCCCAAACAAAATTTACAATTGGCATTCCACCACCTTATTTTTGTTGAAAGCAAGAGCGGGCGCGAAAGTCATGGATTCAAGTAAAAAGATTAGTATGCACAAGAAGAAGCGCTTGCCACACTCGAGTAGGGTTTGTGATGAAGTTGTGGAATATTATGAAAAGCATGCTGAAGATCGTGATATTATAAAATACATGCGCTTATCATCATGTTCTTCTGGTGCATCAATCGTTTCAAGTTCATCATCGACTAGTGGATTGGATGGTAAATCGCTAAATAAACTATTTGATAGCGAAGTGAAAAAATATCAAGCAGCAAAAAGTAACAGCTTGCCAAACGTTGCTGTAAATAAGAAGGCCAAAGAACATATAATTTCAATTACTATGGAGTCAAGGAGCAGTAAAGCAGAGAAAGAGGTTTGTTAAATATTTTATTTAAATTAACGACTTATTAAATCGATTTTTGTCATCACTATAATGTTAGAATGCTCGAGAAACTGATAATAAGACTGATTTTAAGACTCCACAAAAAGAAACGAGATCAAAAGAAACCCAAACGCCAGAATCGGTAACAAAAAACAACAAAATATTGGAATGGGACTCACTCGGCGATGTAGGCTACATAAAATCTAAATCAACTAGTAATATAAGTTTGTTAGAACGTTCTATACTTAAGGATGTGTTACAAGAATTGTCAATTTCGGGGGAAAAACTAAACGCGAATAGTTCAGAAGGAAATTTGGCAAAACTAAATGAAAATGTGAAAAAAGATGCAAAGGTGAAGTCAAAATCTTATGAACAAAATTTAAACTCACCATTAGCTTCCAGCACTTTGCTTGGGGCGAACGCAAAGTCATTAAGTGGGGACGCGCAACGTAAAAGTAAAGATGTTAGTACATCAACGTCATATACTAATTTTTTGCAAAAATCAGTACAAACATCCTTAACACGAATGTCAAATCTAACAGCAAAAGAAGTACAAGTCAATATATCACCAGATTCTATGGGTACCACAACAACTCCATCTAGTATCGATTATCACACCACTCGTTCCTCAAATAAAAATGTAGAAGAAGAATCTACAGAACCCAAGAAAGACAGTTCAACAACAAAACTGACGGATTCAAATGTGACAGATGACAAAGAAGATGTATTGGGACGTGAAAAAGAGCGTTTAACAGCAAGATTAACGGAAGTAATTCAAATGAATGCTGGGAACAGTGAAAACAATAATGCAACTACGACCAATGCAAGTACGACCGATTCAATAAAATTTGAAGAAGTACGCAATACGTTACGACTTATACTTGATGATAATACAGAAGCTTCATCATCAAATACGTCAATCACCCGTTCTCCACAATTAGATTTAGGTGTAAAGTTGCTTTGTTCACTTATTGAGGCTAAAAGTTTAGATCGAAAACAAAAGAGGAAACTTTTACGAGATATTGTAAACAAGATTATTGCCATGAGCTCAGAGGGTAGTTTTATGCAACCTTATCCAACTATAAGCTCCAGTTTGCCTCTTTCAGTGACTTCTTCCCAAGTTCCTATTGTAAAATCTGCACCAAAAGTCGTAAATTTACATGATAAAAACAAAAAGATTGCAGAAACAGACCTAAGTAATTCTACAGAAAAAATAAGAAAAAGCAGTGGAATAGGAGAAAAAGTCATTCATACGTTAGGTAAATACACAGTACATTATATTAAAGTATGAACTTTATTACCAATCATTATATATTTTAAGTTTATGAAGAACCTTCAAAACAGTCTCTCCAAGATCAAGAACAAACGGTGTCATCAAGTAGAGAAACTCGTCCAAGCAAAGAAAACGAGAATCCAAAAGTCGTTCAATCTAATAAGCCTGTACTGGATAAAGCTGCCAAACGAAATAAAAAGATGATATCGGATTCAGATACAGTACCTGCCACCACAACTGCTTCGTCCAGAACATCGAAAGACATTATTACCCCGAAGCAAACTACTAATATAAGTGACTCTAATACAATGGGGGAGTGGTTAAATCCCTTAACGCAATCGGAGATCGAATATGAAGAAAAGAAGCGTGCAAAAAAGTTAAAAAAGAAACCTAATGTTGAGTTAGATACGGAACGTAAAGTACAACTTAATTGGATTGATACTGAAATTGAAAGACTGGAATGTTTGAGACTTTTACTATTAAAACAGAACAGTTTGTTTGAAGCTTCAGAAGCACAAGGAAAAACTAACAACACAGAATCAGCTACTACGTCTAAACCAAGCACTGAAAAATTTTATGACACTGTTTATAGTAGCGGTAGCAAATCAAGTTCGGAAATGGATAAATGTGATGGAGAGGAAAGCGAAGAAATTGATGTTATCTTAGAGGTATCAAATGAAGATGTACTTGATAAAAATACTAAAGTTAAATATAAACGTGATCGTGTACGTGAGACACAAATAGTTTACGATAAATCTACATCCGAACCTAACTATGGCATTAAAACGCAAGGCAAGCCACTTTATCGCACTGTCAAAGAGACTGTAACTACTCGCATGCAACAAAAACCTAATGCTCAAACTAAACGTTTAACAGGTAACTGATTATTATATTCTTTGAATTTAAAATTAAATGAAAAATCATGCTTTTTAGACACTTATAAAGCCCCACCTCAACGTTCTAAAATCCAAACTCCTTCAACTAGTAATGAAATGGAAACCGTTGACACGTATGGACAACAACGCAAACAAGAATTTTTGGATAAATATAATATAAAGAAAAAACATCATTATGAAAAGTTAGTCCAGCAACAACAAGAGCAAGAGATGCAGTTAAAGGATCAGAAGCGAAGGTTGCAACATCAAAAAAAGTATTTACAGCAGCAGCAACAACAACAACAACCAAATACTGTGACTAATGCGAAAGAACCGAATAACTATTATTCTGTGCCACATCGCGAAGAACAGAAATATTCGCAACATCCTCAGCGTACAGTACAAAGTAATAAAAGATCTTCGTCAGCTAAGCCTCAAAGAGTAATCGATGATGAGTCATTTCCAATACAAAATGAACCTAGTTCTAGCACATCTATTGGTTATCAACAGAATTCAGCAGCACTTCACTCATCATCGTCTGTTGTGATATCATCATCTGATTATTCTGTTCCCATGGGTTCAAACACTAATACATCTACTACAACAACCACTCATCAATATGATGCAGTGGGTCGTAATCAACAAGTTGCAACAATAGGCGTTCAAACCTCCAATTCGCTATTAGGCATAAACGGTGCACGTAGCATGCGTACACAATCCAGTACAACAAATCGTGTTTGCGGTACACCATGCCAATTTTTTGTGCCGTGCCAACCGAAGCTACCTTGCAATTGCGCCTTTGTGCAACCATTCTGTTGTAGGAAACATAGCAGCTGTTGTCGTTCATCTTCACCGATACATGTATTAACGCGAAAAGCAACACACTCTTTGGGAGTACAAGTGAAGCCAAAATCTATTGCTTATGTTATTACATTCGATGGAAGTGCAGAAGCGGTCAGTTCACCGCAAAATACAAATAACGAATCTGATCAGTCGGATGAACAACCACCACAATTAACGCTACAGGAATACCTATACCGTGCCAAACCACAATTCTATGCCGATTCCAAACAACGCAAATCAATACTTAATGAAATGCACACATTGCGTCAGGAACGGAACCGTGAGTTACGTGATATCGTTGAAGATAATAGTTTTAATACAATAGAGAAAAAGTTGAAGCGCTTGCCTCCACCACCAACAAGTAAAAACTATAAGAAAAAATTAATGAAGATCTGAAGACTCAAACATATTCAATTTCTTTTACAGACCAACTACGTATCTTTCCCAGCAAAGAAATGAAAGCCATGACTAAGAAACGTTTTGCAAATCTACCGGAAGTTGTGAAAAAAAAAGAACAAGAACGAGTGGAACGATATAAACGCGGCAACCGTTTGCTTAGAGATATATTTAATCGGGTAAGTAAAAAATATTAATTTTTATTTTTTATTAAATTTTAAATATATTTCATTCAAATTCTTATATTTCTGCAGAGATTACAAAACCGAGTTCGAAATGGGAAGATTTCTTTGAATCATAGTAGAACGATTATTTGAAATAAAAGAACAACTTTAAATTATTTTAGAATTTTTTTTAAAATCTTGTATATCTTTTTTAATAATTTTTATTTAATTAATAAACATTTACTGTGCGAGTTTACAAAACAATTGAAATTCAAGATTTTTTTTCTAAACAGATTAGCTGTGCGAACAAATCGAACATCAGTTGTACAAGATAATCAGTTAATCGAACAGTTCAGCTGGGCAAGCTAATCAGCTGATCAAACTAAACAGTTCGAGCCAATTAGCTAACCGAACAGATTACCTGCTCAAGTCAATCAGTTTACCAAACAGATCATCTGTTCGAGCTAATCAGCTGATTGAATGAATCAACTCTTCAAGACAATCAGCTGATCGAGCAAATAACTATGCTTGCTAATCAGCTGATGGAACGAATCAGCTATGCTAGTTAATTAGCTGATTAAATTGAGTTGTTCAAACTAATCCATTGACCGAGTAGATCAACTATTAAATTAATCAAATATCAAATAACGCGCATAAAACCTACTTATGTGTATGGACATATAGACTAGACTTTCGAGCAAGCATATTCATAAGATATGACCCGTATTAGTGTGTCAGTGGTCTATCCAACCTACAGAGCACAATGCATATTTTGCATTTTTAATTTTGTTGGAATTATAAGAAAATTCGAATGAACGGAAATTCAAACTAGCGAAGTTCTACTGATTATAAATCTCTACGAAAGTTTCGTTCTCTACGAACAAACGTGCTAGCTAACAACTTAGAAAACGTAAAAGAAAGTGCTACCTAACAGTACTAAAATGTGTTTAAAAAAACTACTAGCAAATATCAACTAAACGATATATACAAACAAAAGCACCATGTAACAGCACCAAAAACAAGCAAGACAAGATTAATATACATATATTCCATATTACTTAAAACTTTCTGAAGAAAACTCCTGTATAAACAGTTTAAACAAATTTCGAACATTTTTATGTTTAGGGTCGTGTGCGAGTTAGGCTAAGTTGCGTTCTAAATGAGGGAAATTCTAAGTTGTGCCGATAATGTAGTGAGGTGTAGATACGTGTTGATAAATGGCTAAATGTGTGCAGTGGAAAAAACCTCAAAAAATCTTCCATTTGGTTTAGCATCAACTTAGCCTAACTCGCACACGTCCTAGATATTATTGTATGTTCCCATTGCTATCGTTAAATCACTTTATTTCATTTAGGTCGGTAATGAAATTTGATTAATAGCATCTAATTTACTAAGTAAACTTCATTAACCATACAAAGAGCTTCCATGCTTTTTAACTTAATTTAAAATAAAGCAAGGAAAATTAAACCAAAAATGTCGAATGCAACTCTTAAAAATAAATTTCCCAAAGGGGAAGTTATCAAAATTTGAAATATTTGTCATATGTTTTATATGTAAAATATAAACAAACAACCGCTGAACTGTTAACAAACACACGGAGATAGTAAGTATTTAATAAAATCTCTGTTTTTATTAATTGTTCGAAAACCACATTTTGTTCCACTATTTCCTGCTACACCTATTTTCTGTGTAAAACAAAATGAAGTGAAATTAGAAATGAAAACTTTTATATTCCTTAGTAAATACGTATATACATGCATATTTACATGTTCAAATTTTATCTACAAATTGGTTTTTTTTTATTTTTGTAGAAAAGTGAGAGTGTTTGTGGAAATGTTGTCAAAGTCTAGTCAGTGTAGATGCAATAATAAATAATAAATTAATGCAATAAAGAAATAAATAAATATTGACATAAGTGCAGTACAAAAAATCTCTATGAAATTTCAATTTACTTTACCTCAATTTACTCGAATTCACACATAGTCTAATAATATATAGGAATAGTAATATAAAAATATATAAAATTTTTATTTATCTTGACAAAAATCATGAATCTATGTATTTATTTCTGCGGCTCTTCAATCTATACAGGAATTTGTATTGGCCCGCGATTATATTTGGTCTAGACGTCGCTGCTTCAAAGTACTAATTCGCTAATAAAACAACAGCTAAAAAAATCACCATTCAAATTTAAATCTTGGGATATTTTTTATTTCCAGCTGGCAATACTGATTTGTTTACAAACACTTGTCATTTCTTGCTTTGACTGACCCTACGCAAATTTCACTGACTGTTTGTCAATTGTCGTGTGTCATTCATTCTGTGTTGGGAAATTACTGAAGTGAGTAAAAGCAGTGATTTCATAAATATTACTCATAATAAATAATAAAAAGTGATTTAGAAACAGTATGTAAAAATATTAAAATTAAATTAACAGTTGAAATAATTTTATTCAATCACTGTATTGCATCTTAGATTTCTGAAGGACGAAGTGCCATAAGAAAAATATTCGATCGATATATTTTTGCAGAGAAAGTCCCCCAAGTCAAACCCACCCCCATTAAAATAGCTATTATAGCAAAAGTACAACAGTTTTAAGCTTCGACATGTCTTATGTGAGTTACATTTGTTTTTTTTTCAACTAATTATATATAATTTAAAAAAATTACCTACACGCAGCGAATGAAAGCAACAAAATGCCCCACAGACGAATTATCGTTAACTAATAGAGCCATCGTGAATGTCAGTGATTTTCCGGATGAAATCAAGTACGTAAATACAAGTTTAAAAGTGATTTCTTATATACAAACGTATGCTTATATAAATTAGGTATTGCGACATTTCACCTGGCCCAAGTCAGCACTACATTTTCGCACTTGAAAAGACAACCGAAGTGCCACGGGGTCATGTGGGATTTTCATTGGTACAACGAAAATGGGCTACACTCTCCATTAACCAGGATATTGATGTGAGACCGTATCGTTTCGACGCCAATTCTGATGTAATTACTTTGGTTTCATTTGAAACTGATTTCTTGCAAAAGAAAACGTAAGCTTATTTTTACATATTTGTGTAAATACATTAAATACATAATTTATTTAACAATATATGTGTCCAGCACCTCACAGGAACCGTATGACACCGATCAAATGGCAAAAGAATTTCTGATGCAATTCGCTGGAATGGCTTTAACTGTTGGCCAAACTTTAGTTTTTAGTTTTCAAGATAAAAAATTACTTGGTTTGGCTGTGAAGATATTAGAAGGTATTAAATTATTTTTTATTTAAAAATTTTTGATATACATATATGGTAATTAAAATATTTTAGCTGTTGATCCAAAGTCATTGGGTGAGGGAAAAGAAGCTGCTACGAAAAATGTACGTTTTGGACGCATACTTGGCAACACAATTGTGCAATTTGAGAAAGCAGAGAATTCTTCATTAAATTTGCAAGGCAAATCCAAGGGTAAAATCGTGCGCCAATCAATCATAAATCCAGATTGGGACTTTGGCAAAATGGGAATTGGTGGCTTGGATAAAGAGTTCAATGCTATATTTAGACGAGCATTTGCTTCACGTGTTTTTCCACCTGAACTTGTTGAACAATTAGGTTGTAAACACGTTAAAGGCATACTGCTCTATGGTCCTCCTGGTACTGGTAAAACGCTTATGGCACGACAGATTGGTAATATGTTGAATGCACGTGAACCAAAAATTGTTAATGGTCCACAAATATTGGATAAATATGTTGGTGAGTCTGAGGCAAATATCAGACGACTCTTTGCAGAAGCTGAAGAGGAAGAAAAGAGGGTACATATAAATATATATTTGAGTAAAGAATATTTAATAAGCGACACTTAATTATGTTTGTTTATAGCTTGGCCCAAATAGTGGTCTTCACATTATTATATTTGATGAAATTGATGCTATTTGTAAAGCACGTGGTTCTGTTGCTGGCAACAGTGGAGTGCATGATACCGTTGTCAATCAATTGCTGGCTAAGATTGATGGTGTGGAACAACTCAATAATATACTAGTCATTGGTATGACCAATCGTCGTGATATGATTGATGAGGCTCTTTTACGTCCAGGTCGTTTGGAAGTTCAAATGGAGATAAGCTTACCAAATGAACAGGGACGTGTACAAATTTTGAATATACATACCAAACGTATGCGAGAATTTAATAAGATTGCTGGGGATGTTGATAGTAAAGAAATTGCTACACTTACCAAAAATTTTAGTGGTGCTGAAATAGAAGGTTTAGTACGTGCAGCACAATCTACAGCTATGAATCGTTTGATTAAGGCTGACGCTAAAGTAACTGTAGATCCAGAGGCTATGGAAAAATTAAAAGTTACACGTTCAGACTTTTTACACGCTTTGGAGAATGATATTAAACCTGTAAGTAGCAATAAAAACTTTATTTATTATATGTTATTATAAGTTATTGCTAACTTTTAGGCATTTGGTACGGCATTAGAAATATTGGAGAATATGTTGTCACGTGGTATTATTAATTGGGGTCAACCAGTTACTAATATTTTGGAAGATGGCATGTTGTATGTACAACAAGCTAAAGCAACTGAAAGTTCTGGCTTGGTTTCAGTACTTATTGAAGGTTCTCCAAATTCAGGCAAGTCAGCGTTAGCAGCTAAATTAGCTAAAATGTCCGACTTTCCATTTGTCAAAGTTTGTTCACCAGAAGATATGGTGGGCTTTACTGAATCAGCAAAATGTTTGCACATACGTAAGGTAAAGTAATGAACAAAATAATTACAATTATAATATAAATAAAATTCTCTCTATATTATTAGATTTTCGACGATGCTTACCGTTCTATGCTCAGCTGTATTGTGGTTGATAATGTTGAACGTTTATTGGATTACGGTCCTATTGGACCACGTTATTCTAATTTAACTCTACAAGCTTTATTAGTTTTATTAAAGAAACAGCCACCAAAGGGTCGTAAATTACTTATTTTATGCACATCAAGTAGACGGTAAGTAGTTGTTTTATTTACCTCTATATTCTTTATATAAACTCTTATACTAAATGGAATACAGTGAAGTCTTGGAAGAAATGGAAATGTTAACTGCATTCACATCTGTGTTGCATGTACCCAATCTTTCACATCCTGATCATGTTTTAGCAGTATTAGAAGATTCAGATCTCTTTAGCAAGGGCGAATTACAGGCTATTGGTAAGAAAATGTCCGGTAAAAGGTGAGTCATTTTATAATATCTTGCAACCTGGGTGTATTATTAAATATTTTTTATTTTATTTTAGAGTGTTTATTGGTATTAAAAAGTTACTTGCACTTATTGATATGGTACGACAAACTGAACCACAGCACCGCGCCATTAAATTCCTTTCAAAAATGGAAGAGGAGGGCGGCTTAGATATGGTTCGACAGCAGTAACCATTCAGAACTGAATTAAACATGGCAGTTGTTGATGTAAACGACGTATTTTAACTTGTAAGTGCAAAATATTTAATCTCTTATATGATTACCAACAAACACATACATATATATATGCTTTTAAAAAAGAAAAGTACTTATAACAAAATATTTAATGGCAAGTATAGAGTACACGTAGAAATACCTGATTATACTTAAGAATTAATTATGCACCACATAAGATAATAGGGCATAATTGCAATAATTAAAGATAAATGCTTTCCAATTTTCAATATAAATTATATTAACGTTTTAGCTAACATTTTAAGCATTTATTTAAAATATGTTTGTTCATGTCGTTTAATATAACTTATGTTTAAATTTATAATGTATGTAGTTGAATTTTATTATAGCAAATATTTTAATTTGCTTACAGTTATATTATAAATTATTATTAGTTTAAATACTGTACACACACTATGTGTAGATATTTAAAACAAAATTAAAAATTACTTATAAATGTTATAAATTATAAAGTTTCGATTGTCTACCCTGAAGCACTCTTCTTTATAACAGAAGAATTCCCTTTAGCTTCTTTTTCTTTCAAAATTTTCTTTTGAAAGGAAAATATTCAATTAATAAAGATTGAAGAACTTTCTATATCTCACTATAACACCATCTTTCAATATACGTTATTGTAATATGTATAATAAACTTCGTTTATTATTAATTTTTAAAAATAAAAAAGTTATTGTAATTTTTTATTAGGCAAATTTTATTTAAACCTAAGTAACAGACAATTTTTGCTAGAGCAAAAATAGGAACCGTACCGAAAAAGATATATATCAGCTTATAGTACTTCACTATATTGTTTGATACCTTCAGCTCCAGCGCAAGAACAGATTTAATTTATAAAAGCAGTTTGTTTTTTTTTTTATAAAATAAATTCATTAAAAAAAACTAAATAAAACATTTTAATCATAACAAAATAAAAAATAATTTCGGTAATCAACGCCAATCAACGATAACGATATTTTTACCAAATCCAAAAACGAAAACATTCTGATATATATTAATATTTTTTTATTGAACTGAATGAAGTTCCCAACTTCAAGTCCTGATTTATATCAATCGAAACTTTATACTTTAAATATTTTTGTATATTTAAATTTAATTAAAATTTAAGACATTCCAAATATGTAAAACATGACAAAGAAAAATTCAAGCTTATACTAAAACGATTTATAATTCTTAATAATTTCTTTATAATTTGATTTAATTAAGAAGAGAAATTTACTAATTAGCGAATAAATAAAAAATCTTAAGTTAATGAATGGCCATAATAATAATAAATAATTATTATTATTTTAATTCGTTTTGTATCTAGAATATTCAAAAATATTTATTCAATTAATATTTCAAAATGTTTTCCAATAATAAATTATTCTAGATATTTTCACATATTGTTATTGTAAATTTTTTTTATATATGTACATTATTCTAAAATATTTATTAAATTGTTATTATTATAATATAATTTAACATATAATTTTTTAATTATATACTTACCTATACTATATGTAGTATAAGATATCCTAAAGAAATTTAAACTTAGTTAATTCTCATATTTTAAACAAGTTCGCTTCACTAATCTCTAATACTAATCTGCTTATTTCGGAATTATATAATAAATTTATATATGTGTAGTTATATTTTATAAATGTATAAATGTAATATATATATATATATATAATTATATAAATGTAATATATATATATATTTAATATAAATATATTATGAATCATGTATACAAATATATATAATACATATATACAATTATATGATTTATTCGAGCAATATCAATTAATAGTTATTATTAATATAAAAACTTTAAAATTTAAATTAATATAATTATATACAGCTATATACAAAAAAATTATTAAAATTTACTCAATAGATGTATTATTAATTAATTCGCTGTTTAAACTAAATAAATTAGAAACAAAATTAAAAAAATAAGTTCATTTTAATGATATATGAAATTGTATATTATTTACAAATATTCTAAAATTAAATATATTATAACACCACACTATTCGTTATTAAATCATTGTTATTAAATTAATTAAATAAATTATCAAAAAACAAAGAAATGTATCGAATATTTGATATGATTGATGATATATGATAAGAATTCAAATTAATTAAAAAAAAGGTTGGTTAATATGTAAGATTTAACATTACTAAAGCAAATATTGTTAAAGATAATTCAATTATTTTAAAATAAGTATATATAAATATATTATTATATTAACTTAATTATAAAAATTATGGTAATAAAAACTGTTAAAAATATATAATTGTTGTTTAAATTGTTATTTAATATAATAGAATTTTAAATCTAAAAAGTGAGTAAAAATACTGGACTTTCTAAAAATTTTTGTGAAACAAAAACGTCACATGACGTTTTTACTTTTCAGAGTTCCCGAGTTACTTTTTTATCTCCTCAAAGTCGAAGTTATAACTTCGAGATAAGCGTTTCGAGGTGATTTTGGTCATAAAAGAAAAATTAAAATTACTGTACTCATCTGAAATGGATCCGTCTAATATTTTTCTGCTTCCAAATCTAGCATTAGGACTTTGATGAAGAACTGCCAAGCCAATTATGCTAATAAAAAAAAAACTATAGAAGTAAAAGACCAGAATTAAATCATGATATATTGGATTAAACAATGCATAGTAAGTCATGCCTTTTGAATCTCATCAAATGCACATCTTAGTCTTCAAACTATTCATGATTCGTTTTGGTATTGTTATAAACTTTTTACAAGGATTAACGTAGGCTGTATTGCATCTAGAATTAACCGAATTTCAACATTTTTTATAACTACCTAATATTTGATCCAAAAAATTATTCCATTTAGTTTAAAGTGATATTTCATTAATCTTGATATATAGTACGTCCTTTTTATTATGTTCAACCATTTATCGCAATAAATCAAAATGACGATTTTGAGCACATATTTCGATAAATTGCAATACTTCCATTTATTACAATAAATTAATGCCACTTTGAACGTGCTATTAGAGACACTTCATTCCTACTGTTATATTATTATATATAACAGTAATAATAATTATCTATTAATTATAACAATTATCTATTAGAATATAAAATGCAATTTGTATACAATATTACATATTATTTTTATTAAATAAGGCAGAACTCCGCCTCCTTATATTATTAAAACAAATTCCATTTATTTTGTACTATACAATATATATATAAGTAAATTTTTAAATATTAATATTATTATTATAACTTATTATTATTATGACGATACTGACACGGAAGGTGTGGGTCGAATACATGGAGACAGACATAGACACTTGTTACTATACCTTAGGCTGATGGTAAGACTGTAGAAAATGATGTAGTAAAGCTTCACGATCTCTGGTGAGTGGCTGCCCTGTATTCTGCGATCTGGCGATCCACCCCATAATCATATTTCTCATTTCGGTTTTTATAAAGTCATGCGGATACCCATTAACCAGATAAAGGGTCTTGTAATGCAAAAGATCGGTATGTACAAAAGCATCGCTGGTCCGAAATAGCACTTTACGTAAATGAGAAATTATGGCGTTACGTTTAATTGCAGTGGATACATGGGAGGTGAAATGCACCGTACGCAGCGACTCTGAAGGCTTATGATGAACGGATAAGAGGAAGGAAGATGATGTGCGCATTATCCGATAATCCAGATATGTCACGAAGGGATGACACCCGACATTAGCATCTAAACGTTCAACTTCATAGGAAACATCATATTCAGTCATCTGAGGAAACAAGCGCATAAAACTAGACACGCAAGATTGATTCATGTAAAGCAGCACATTGTCTACACACTTCCACCAGGCAAAAATACTATGCGACAAGAACAAAGTACTGTGGTGTAACTCAATCCGGGAATCGAGATATAGAGTGGCAAGTATTTCAGCGGCATCACCATCTTGTGATAACGTCTCCATTTGGTGATATAAGTTACCATCAAATGTAAAACAATTCCCCAAATTCAGAATGTAGTCCAGCAACTGATGTAGCAACTTGACATCGATTGGACAGGCACTCTGGAACCAGGACTGCTCCATAAAGTACTGTAAAACACGCCATAACGATGTGATGCGTGTATCAGTATATATATCCTTAATTTTCATAGTCACTAATACGTATCCGCGACGTGGTTTAATCTGCAGAAAATGGTCGGTTAGATGATCTATGTCGAGTATATTGTGTGAAGATAAACGACCTTTTAAGGTAGTCTGCAATATGAATTGACACAACTTATGCAACGGATTTGTATACCAATTTATCGGACTGCAAATAGGTTGTATAGGATGGTCGGGTTTATGTGTTTTTATAGTTCCATATAAATATGGAAGGGTTGGCTTCTCATTAATGCGTTCTTCTAGCTCTTTATGAATAGCTTGGGGATAAGGGTTTCCATCCTTATAGATACCGCACAATGAATTAAATATTTCATGATAGTGTGCACCCAACTTACGAACCAATTGGCCTACATCATCGCAATATTTCACACATTCACCTCTGGCGATGTAAGAATCAAGCCAAGCATTCACTTTTGAGATATAGTTTTGTTTGGATATTAGCATTGTTGTACTTCCGTTATCCGACTGTACCGCTAGCACATCCTTGTGCCTGCGTAAGAAATCGAGGGTTATGTGGAACAGGTATCTTAACATATGATGGAATCTTGTAGGATTTTGATGTTTAACCATAACTTCGAGAAACTTAGTGAAATGTTCCTCCATTTGTAACTTGCAGTAAGCACTTAGATCTTCGCAGGCCTCTATGTAAGCATCATGATCAGTGCACAAGATTGTATAATAGTCCTGGATGGTAGGGGGAGTTATTGGGCAATACTTTGGCCCAAAACTCAACAGGATTTCTGCCTCTTCAGGTACATATAGAGCGGTTAAATTTAAAAAGCCACCTGGGATTACACGTGGATACAAATCACGGTAGCATGGTATAGAGACTGATGTGACCAACCGGGGGGTTGTTGCTTCTACAGCACTTGTTAGGAAACGTGATAAACTAGTAGGTGGTGGGGGGATGGTGACTGTTGGTACTGTAAAAGAGCTGTTTGTAATTGGTACATTAATCCAGAAGGGTTGCACAAAACTATCTTGGTGGACTATATCATTTCCGGACACAGACGTGGACATCTGGGCACAATCATGGTTGTCATTCATATTTTCCAAGGCAATAGATATGTCGTTCCTATGGTG